CAGCGGGGCCGGGCAGAACCGTCATTTCGGGCTCTTAATTAAGTAGCCGCGTTGGCCGTGTCTGCCAAAGTCCCTCTGCCGACGCGCCTTACCTCGGCCCGCGACGCTGGCACGTGGTGAGCCCTGCACTGCGGACGGCGTGTGGGCAACCGGCTTTACCGGGTCACGGGGGTAAATTTACTCACTACCTATTAACTTGTATCTGAAAACACCATAAACATTTATGATGCCATTAAAAAAATGGACCTGATATTCTTGGAGAAGACAAGAGCAACATTTCCCTCCTTGTGGTGTCATCTGCTGTGTATTTTGAGTTGAAAGTGTAATAAAAAGAGCACGATGCAAACTGCCATCCGCAGAAGGTGAATAAAACCCAACAAGGTGAGGAGGAGCTGGCCGGGGTGAGGGATGCTCCTGCAGCTGAGCGTGGAGGGAAGATGTGCTGGGCTCCTCCCTTGGTCACCAGCTCCCTGATTACCCCTTTTGGATGGGATTTTCAAGGCAGCCACTGCTGTAACAAGTGCATAACTCAGGAGATCCCAAACCCACATCCCCGTGGTTTAGCTGTTTTCTGCAGAACGGGAAGATTTTCTTCCCCTTCGGAGAGATGTGAAACCACAGTGCACAAATTCAGGGGCTGCAGAGGCGAAGGGCTTGCTACGCTGAGCTCCTGGGGACGCGGGGGCTGCGGGGCGGGTGACGACACGTGTACACATCCCTGTGGTCCCGTGGGTTTGCCCGTCTCTGGGCGCAGGCTGGACGTGCTCCTGGCCAGGACGCGCAGCGGGGAGGGGGCTGAGCCGAGCGTGGAGTACAGTTTTGGGTCCCTGCTCGGAGGTAGCTCTGGGGTCCTGCGCAGGCTAACGAGCCACTAATGAGTGTCCCGCCAACACCTTTCTCTTTGCCCTCGCAGAAAACGTCACCCAGCTGATCCCCGAGCCGGGCAGCCTGCTGCACTCGCGGGTGCTGCAGTACCGGGAGCTGCTGGACTCGCTCCCCATGGACGCCTACACGCACGGCTGCATCCTGCACCCCGAGCTCACCACCGACTCCATGATCCCAAAGTACGCGACTGCTGAGATCCGCAGTAAGTTGCCTCTCCAGCGGGGCTGCCCAGGGCCGGCGCCGGCAGGACGGCTCCCCCAGCCCTTCCTTTAGGCTGGGTTTGGCTCCGCAGCCCGGCCAGCCACCCTGCTCTTGCTCATCTCCCCTTTCCCCTGACGCAGGCAGGGACAGAGCTGGGAAACAGCAAAGCACAGCTAATTTGGGAGCTGCAGTACCCTGTAGAGGCTTCCCAGCCCTGGGGGTGTCCGGGCTCCCACGGGCCATGCACGCTTCTCGCCCAGCTCTTTCTACGGCACATGAATTTGCTCCCTCTCCCGAACATCCCCCCTCCCTCCAACAGCTCTAAGGGTAAAGGTGAGGGACTACAGCCAGATGGAGTTGCAGACAGTGGATGAATCGGCATAAGACTCTGCACCTGACCTTCAAGCGCTCATGAAACATTGACGATGCTTAATATAACTCAACAGCAAGGATTGCTCCTGGAGAGAGTCCCTCACCAGAAAAGCGACCTTGTTAGGAGGGCAGCAGCGTGCCCCACGCGTGTCCCCCCCCCTTTAGGCTCCAGACCCAAACAGTGCCCATAGCAAACACTGATCCCCTCCACTGTCCCTTCAGCTGTCTGGGTGACGGGTGGTCGCTCTGAAATGGGATGCACTCAGCCACAAACAGGCTGCTCCTGAGGTGTATCTCATGGTCTGCCCTGCCTCTGCTGGCATCCTGCTCAGGCGGCTTTCCCCCTGTCACCAAGTGTCACCTCCACCCCCAGACCTTGGGCAGATGCAGGGTTCAGAGCCTGTCCCCTCCCCAGTGGGTGCTGCTGTGATGGCTTCAGACCCTGTCTGCCTCGCATCACCTCCCCAGCACTCTGCCAAGGTCCTTAAAAGTATCTCACCGTCCAAACCTCCTCGCTGGTGGCATTTTTCCCAAGCCATTGCAAGGGAGGGGCTGTGGGTAGCTCCATGGGATGCCCCAGTGCCGGTGGTGGCCCTCCTCCCCAGCACATCCCCTACCCCCAGGCGGTGGCTCGGCTGCCCCGTTGCAGTGGGTGTCGAGGCAAATCCATGTAGTTGTGTTCCAAGGAGAGTGTGAACCGAGGGCCAGGCTCTCCCCAGGGGAACAGGGGAACAAAACCAGGGTGATACCCAGGCTTCCCTCCAAGTTACAGCCCCAGGAGAGCCGGCTGGGAGCTTTAGCAAGCATGAGCTTCAAGGCTCGTGGTGGAAAACGGGAAGTTTCACCATTTTGTGTCGGCACACAGCCCACTGCCGGCTGCCGCCCGGGCCAGCCCGGGCACCTCCCGCACCCACGCATCAGCAGAGCCAAGCCCTCTTTGGAGGGAACGAGGAAGGAGAGACAGATGGTCCCTGGCAGGAAGAGATTAGCCCAGCTCCGCTAATTTATGTCGTCCCTAAGGTGTTACTCTGCATCTCGTATTCTTTTCTTCCATTTACTCTGCTCCTTTCCCTCCGTCAGCTCCCTTGCACAAAGCCCTTCGTATCCTCCCCGTGCCCTGGGAGGGAGGAGGGTGGGCGTCTCTCCCACGCTCGCAGTGGGCTCCACGCTACCGAATGGCATCCCCGGACACCAAGCCGGGGCTGGACAGCTTCATTCGGGAGGGAGCACCCCCTCCCACGCCGCTCCCTCCCACGCTGCTCCGCACACACACCCACACATGGGCAGCCGGCTCAGACAGCCCAAAGGATTGACCTGCAGGAACCAGGTTATGGGGAAGCTCAGGGGTGTTCTTAAAACAGTAAGAGACAGAGATCTGCTAGCAGCTCTGAGATGAATCCAGCAGAGGAAATGAAGAGCTGAAACCTGCGGAGCTGGGACTCGCCCCAGCCAGGGAGAGGATTCTGCCGTACCCCGCAGCCAGCGCTGCCCTGCCGGGGTGGATGGGAGAGCTGAAGAAGCTACGTGCCCTGGGGAGGGTGTGCGATGCCCCAGCCACCCACCGGTATGAGAGCACAGCAGCAGAAAGCCATGAATTTGGCCCGTTTTAGCTCTCCAGGGTGTTTTTCTTGGTGCCACAACACTATTTTGCATGCAGGACAAGGTGCTTTGCTACCGAACACAAGGTCATCCTGACCCCTGCCAGACACAGCCTCCCCAGCCCCTCTGTCTGTCTGTGTCCCCCCAGGACATTTAGCTAATGCCAGCACGGAGCTGATGAAGCTGGACCACGAAGAGGAGCCACAGCTATCAGAGCCCTACCTCTCCAAGCAGAAGAAGCTCATGGTAAGCGGGTCAAAGCCACACACATCTCTGGTGGTGGGGGGACGTGACTCGCAGATCTGCCATGGGCACCTGGTGCCTCACGTCCCTGCACAGTTGCAGGGACACGTGTCCATCTGTCCATTCATCCATCCATCCCCCATCCTAACCCTGCTCTCCACCCAGGCCAAGATCCTGGAGCATGACAATGTGAACTACTTGAAGAAGATTCTTGGTGAACTGGGGATGGTGCTAGACCAGATCGAGGCTGAGCTGGAGAAGAGGAAACTGGAGTACCAAGGTGGGCGCTGGGTTGCGTTTATGGGGTGTTTTTCCACACGAGGCTGAGGTGCAACACCAGGAACAGCCGATGGCCT